TAATCTCGAACCATATCTATTAGCATTATTGAATAGCTTGCTTGCATGTTTGTTCTCATGAAAGAGATATTTAAATTTTGGTTTGGAGGTGATCACTCCTTTTTTTTTACTATTTTTTTTTTTTATTGGAGGTGATCCCTCCTAAGCTAACTTGATGGGCCCGTTTAGGCTAGGTTCAATTCAAGCAGTCGGGTGGGGATTAATGAAGGGTGATATTGGTTACTATAGGAAAAATCTGTTATTAATTAGTGTAGGATATAATTTTAAAATTTTTGATGGCACAAATTTAATGGAGTTGTTGAATCAATTTTTTTTTTAGACTTTTGAGCTTTTAAAGTCAACTCACAAACACGTTAGGGGTGTTGATTTTTGACACGACCCGGATCCGACCCAAAAAAATTGGGATTTGGGTCGACCCGTTTGTGAAACAGGTCGGGTTCGGGTTCAACAAATTGACTTGTTTCAAAAAACGGGTCGGGTTCGGGTTGACCTGGAAACCCAAAAATGACCCGAAAACCCTCTGCTCGTATCTGTTGCACGCCCTGCCGAAGCATCGGGTGCCCGGATGCCCGCCCTGCCCGATCAAACCCAAGTTCGCATGCTGCACTGCTGCCGCTCGAACCCCGAAGCGTCGAGTCACATCTTGAAGCGTCAAGTCGCGTGCGTTCGAAAAGTTGAGTTGGGCGCGTGCGCGGCGGCGGTGCATCTTAAAGCATTGATTCGTGCGCATGTGAGTTGAGTTGCTGGCTCGCTGTGACGTGTGCTGCTGCTATTGCCGTTGTCGCTGCGCCGCCAGTAGTTGCAACTGGAAACCTAGGCGTTTGATATTTATTTCAAAAATTCGGATAAGGTCGTGTCAACCCGGCTACCCGCGAGGATCGGGTCTGGGTTGAAAAACCCGACGTGTTTACAAAAACGGGTCGGGTTCAGGTTGACCCATTTAGAGCCGAGTCAATTCGGGTTTGACCCAAACTCGACATGCTGACCCGAATTGACACCCCTAAAACACATCATATACACAAGCTTTAAATCTAAAATCTTTTAATTGATGGTCAAATCTCCCAACTAATAGATCAATCTGAGCTGTGTTGAATCAAAAGTTTGATAGTTATAATTTTTGGAGTAATTCTAGGAATATATGTGCTCAAATTTAGATCATAAATATTAACAATTGATTATAATTTTGATTAAAAAAATATTAATCTCTTTAAAGATAATTCAATGCTACCAACAACTTTCAACTTAGAGCCTAAAAAAGGGCCACATTAATTTTGAAAAGTTATTGTAGTTAGAAAGTGAAGATAATGAGCAAACAATTATTGTGCTAAAAAATATTTATCTTTTTTTAGAGCAATTCATTGTGACTAGTTCTAGTTGTCCTATCATTTGTAGAAATTGTAAAATCTTTTTACAAATTTGGATGTAGGAGGATAGTGAGAGTCTGTCTAATGGTTCCCTAATAGGCCAAATGATTTTCTCCTCTTAGATTAGAAGTTTAGACTTTGTTTAGCTTTCATCTGATTAGCCTCACATTGCTTGATTAAATTCTTAGAATCATAAGAATCATTATGATGATATGACCATTTGAATTGTGAGGCAAGTTCGATTCGGGTTGATCAATCTCTATTCGTCTACTCGAAATCTACATTTTGTTGGATTGCAACCATTTTATTGTTATTGAAATCATTCTAATGAGCTGATTACTTAAATTATAAAGTTATTAAATTTGCATTCCATTTGATTCTTCAAATGATTCTAAAAATTGCAAGTTTAAATTTTGGCGAAATTATTCTGTACAGATATGGACGCTGTCCAAAGACGAATGCACAATATCTTTTATTTTATTTTGATTCACTTTGGAAGAGTCAAGTGTCTCTATTCAGAATAATTTCTCAAAATTTTGCATTATTTGAGATAAAAAGAAAAACTTGCACCGAAAAACGTATTTGTCGGTTTGAATTTTGCCATCCCATCAGTTATGTAAAAAATATTTTATTCTTTCAAGAGACACGTCTCATACGGATATGTGCCTGCCATAGATTTTAATAATAATTTGTTTGTCTATCCGATCGGTAGGTATTTTTTTTATCCTTTCTGATGGGAATTCATGAAAGCATTATCACAATAATTTATTGGCAATTTAAATTGGAGAGAGAAGAGCATTTAGAAAAAAGAAAGTTAAATATTTTTGTGGAAACAGAACCTAAATTAAATTGGTTTGTGATAATTATTTATAATAATCCTGACCTTTTTTATTCTAATAATTAGCATATAAATAGGTTAATAAATTTATTTTTTATGCATGATAATGAAAAATTAATATTAATTATCATCTTTATTTATGTAGGTAATTTCATTTATCTCCCTGAGAATTAGATAATTATTTTGCAGTAAGTTTAGTAAAATATCAATTCCTTTTGTTTTATTATATTTATCATCCAACTTTTATCAACATAACTCTTATTTTCTTAATGTTTGTGATACAGGGTGTTGGATCCTCTTTTGTTCGGTGGAGTGACGCCGTGTTGTAATTTACTTTATTTATAGGCTTAGGAGCTTGTGAGGAGAATGTAATGAGATTATTCAAATATAGAAAAAGGAGAAATGATAGAGGGGATTTAGACAAAATTTTTATTATTCAAATTTGAAATGCAAGAGTAGTAGCAATTGAAGCTTGATATTAAGCAGCTTGGGCTAAGTAAGAGAAATGATATAATACATTAAGGATTACAGATCTTTATTTTCCCTTTTTTTATAGTGCTCTTCGACATATTCGTTCTTATAGTTGCTGTAAGGTTTAGGAAACTTTAGAAGAAGAGGGAAGTATCCTGAAGCCTCGGTCTCTTTGAGTCTTGGAATATTTTCTTCTTCCTCCCCCTTTTATAGGGATTGGAAAGATGTATGAGTTATTGGTTGGTGTGTAGTTGTCCTATCATTTGGTAGTAATAGTTCATTTGATGTAGAGCTAGTTGGTGACTGGAGGAGTTGAGTCAAATAGGATCGAGTGATAATCAGTAGTCGCCCCCTTGAGGTGAAATAGGGTGCATATTACCTGATTGTTGTTAATGTAAAATGGCGAAATGGTCTAATTTTCCTTGTGGAAGAGGAAGGGCAAGTAGTGTCTGAATGTGATCCTTGGATTGGTGTGGGAGGGAAATCTCTGAGAGGGATGATGTGTATTAGTGGCTCATTATTATGTTGCGCATGATAATCTTGACTCAGACTTAGATGGAAAAAGATTTGTTTGGCTGAGAGAGGGACTTCTGTTTTTGCTTTCCCTAGGGGACAACTACCTGAAGTATGTGATCAATCCCGATCATTCATACTCAAGAGTTAAGCTCTTTTCAACTCCTGAGCGACTCCCTCAAACCAGTTGTTCCGAGATGGAATGTATCATCCTATGGCTCGACCCAAATGTAACTTATAAGACACATGTGAATAGGTACATGCACAAGTATTTATAGGTGTACACATGTGATGATTAATATTTTACTATTATTAAAGTTGCATAAATACATAAACAACTTTATAAATGTGAAAATATATTTGTCTAAGATTTATGAGCATAAAAGATATTAAGAATTTCTATATATTTTGGTTTCTCTTCTATTTAATAAAATGTTCAATACACTTTCTACTGCTTTCTTATGTGAAATAAAATCATTTTATTAATCAAATTATTAATATTGGATGAAAATAAATGTCATAAATATTTAATATTTTTGTTAAATCATATGAGATAAAATAATAATCACATATGCTTAAGCTAATCCTAGACTAATAAATACTAAATATTAACTAATTTTGTAATTAATAATCAATAAGTAACAATAATTGAAATGATATAATATGTTTTATTAAAACTAAATTAGAAACAAATATATCAAATTAATCACAACAACTTTTTTTTATTTTAATTTTCCTCAATAAAACAAATAAAATATGCATATTTTTTTTCCACCCAAAAAATATTACCAACCTCAAATCATTAAAATTTCTAAAAATAATTATAATATATTACACTTATCATACTATAAATTCAATTACTTCAAAATATTATCACTTAGACTATTATTATCATTAATAAACTCTTAATTTTAAAAATAATTCATTCATTTTAAAGTGAACTTTGGAAATGGGACACTGACAAATAATTAATATAATAACTTTTTAAAAATTTAAACTACACGTTTCTCTAATATTTAATATTCTGACCTCTCTCCTTTAAGGATAAGGACACGGTTAAATGATGCCAGCTCATATTCGTCGTACCAAATTTTTATATTTAATTTTTAATCCTAACTGCTACAATGCTTTTAATACAGATTTCATACAATAATAATAATAATAATAATAAAAAGCAAAGCTTGCGCTAACCACCGTGCCAGAAACATTAACTACAACGATTAAGAAGATCTCTTACTTGTTTAATGAAATTTATTTTAAATCAGAATATTCTTATCAAAATTTTATTAGAATTTTAAAATTATTTAATTTATTTTAAGATTGTGTATTTTATGAAAAAATATGTTAAAATATTTTCATGAGAATGAACCAAAAACTATTAAGATATTTTAAGCAATTTTTCAAAATATAATCAGGATTAAATTTTAATTAGTTATTTATATATTTGGATCATCTTAAAATCTAATTCATTAAAACTCTCATATTATTTTTAAATAATATATCAACATACATATATTATTTTAAAATTTAAAATAAATTTGAAATTTTCAAATTTGTTATGCCGTAAAATAAAATTTGATCGGAAAATCAGGATATATAGATATATATTTAAAATTAAATCTGATAAAAAGGCGGAAATCAGTTACGTCGGTAAATTGCTACCTGCCATTACAGATGTGGACTTCAATTCAGTTTATTTAGTTTTAATTATTTCAGGAGAGAAAATATAATAGGATCTTGCAAATAAATAATTACTAAAAAAGAATAAATTATAATTATCTTCTACTCGATCGATGATTTAACTGATAACAATATTTTTTTCAAAAAAAGTTTCGTAGCATTTTTTTTTAATTTTATTTGGATTGAGCTCAAACTCCTTTCTCCTGTACAGCATTTTCCAGAAGAAGAAACAAAAAACTATCACCGAGACACAGCTTATTAATCTATTAAGAACTGAAAGGAGAAGATTTGATGGAAAAAGAAACTAAAAATAAATTAGAAAAAAACCGAACTAAAGAGTGATCTAAGCGGGAAGATGAGATTTCCTTCCCACTTTTCCGAATCTAGATCTAGGGTTTCTCAAGCCAACTTCTCTAATCGATTTTGGCGATTCCGATCCTTTTCATGACGTTGTTCCGCAAGCTTTCATGGGGCGGATTCACGCTCATCGCCTCACTCAGCTCCATTCCGCTCAGATAGTTCCTCACTTCCTGGCGGATCATCTCTTGCATCACCGCCAGCAATTCAGTGCTGAAAGGGAAAGCCGAAGCCGTCGTTGGCGCCGATATCGCCGATGCCGCATGTAACGGCTTCTTTTCCGGTTCCGAAGGTGGAGCCAGATGGAGAAGATCGGTCTGGTTTTGGCGATGGCGGTGATCTGAGGCTTCGGACTGATCAGAACTCAATCCTGGAAGAGAGAGAGTAAGAGAGGTGACGGGATCGGGAATCAGATTGCTTCCACTGCCACTAGAGTTGGAGGCCGCCGCAGTGTCTATGGCGGGGGGGAGTTGCGTTGGAACGATACAACCAGCTCTTGGGACCGGGCGGTAGACCGGAGTAACCATCGGTGGCGGCGTCATCAACGGATGGCTGTGATGACTAGAATCACTGACATCAGAAGAAGAAGGACTACCCGGGCTGAAACTAAGCCCGGCGCTATTTGATCTCTTGAGAGATCTTCCTTCCTCCTCCATCGCGGCGCCGGAGTACTTACGCTTGAGAGTGGAGTTCCAGTGATTCTTAATGGCGTTATCCGTACGACCATTCAGAAGGCGGGCGATGGTTGCCCACTTATTTCCGAAGCGCTGGTGAGCGCTGATGATGGTCCTATCTTCCTCCGGCGTGAACGGGCGGTGCTCCACTGTCGGCGAAAGTTGGTTGCACCACCGTAGCCGGCACGACTTCCCTGATCTACCGGGAATCGACTTGCTTATTAAAGACCAGTTCCTGGCCCCGTGCTTTACTACCAGTCTCTGTAACATCTCGTCTTCCTCAGGACTCCATGGCCCCTTGATCCGATCCATATCTCTGCCTCTCGCAGCCATGCCGATCAAGGTAAAATACAAATCCTCTTTTTCTCTCTGTATATATTTATATATAAATATGTATACTGATTTCGAAGGAAAAGAACAGTCTTTGGAGGTAGAAGAGGGAGGGGGGACGGAGAGGGGAGGGAACGGGGGAGGGGATATTATAAGGAGAGAGGAAGACTGGTTATAGCCGGTTAGATGACCGATCATGGGCCGTTGCATTGGCTACTTCCAGGCAGGCAGTTGCTTGCTTGCATCCAGCTGGCATTAAAACACGCTAGGGCCGTTTGTTCAATCATTTTTTAATTTTTTTTGAAAAAAGAATGCTCAGTGTAAGTTTTTAAATTATTAAATTAATTTTAAATAAATAAAAGTCATAAAAATAAATGTAATATTAAACAAAACATAATAACTTTAAAATTTTAATTATAATATCTAGATGTAGTTGATTTACATATAAAAATAAGAGCTACAATGGTATGAATAAAAGAATAAAGGTGATTAATTGCAATTATATTTTATTTAAATAATAATAATAATATAAAGATAAAAATACTTATATATTTTTTTCTTGGGGAGGCGGGGCTGTGCCCCGACAAGAATTTGCATTTGGATTTTATATTTATTATTTAAAAATATAATAACAGTTTTTTGTAAAATAATAATATTGCAATGTGATCAAAATAATATGAATAGATAATTTCCAAATAGAAATGATTGTTGTTATATTACTTCAAACTATTGAATCATAATCCAAGCTGATAATTATCCAACTCTCCATTTTAGGAGAGAGCTGCAGAGCTTTACTTAATAATAGATAATGATAACTATAGCTAACAACCACTTGACTATCATCACCTAAACACTATAATTCAACGGCTATCACTTGGTTATCATTGCACGATTATAATCACTTAACTGTTAATATCCAAATTCCATTACTTGCCATCGTTGCTCAATTGCCATCACCTAACTATTATTCTCTAAGTTCACCATTGCTCAATAAAGAGGCTTTGGATTTGAATTTTGTGTATGTGATGTGCGTGTAAGTTTGTCTCAATTGGCCTAAATATTAAAAAGAAAAAGAAAAAGAAAATCTCAAGAAACCCACAATTTATTCATTTAAACTAGATTTATTCAAATTTAAGGGTAGACTAACCACTGTGCTAGCTCTGATTCCTAAAAATAACCTTGCTTCTAGTTTTTCTAATTTCAAGCTGATCACTTTATGTAATGTTCTTTGCAAGGTTATAACCAAAATTTTTGCCAACAGATTAAAACCTATCATGCCTATGATTTTTAACGAAAACCAAGCGGGTTTTGTTAAATCTAGAATCTCTACTGATAATATTTTATTGACAACCGAGATTCTTCAAAGTGCTAGACGTAGAGGGGATAAAAGTTATTTTTGTGCTGTATTGGTTATTAAAAAGGCGTTCAACACTGTCTCTAGGGAATTCTTGCTTGTTAGGATGGATCAAAAAGGATTTCCCAGGTTATTCATTCAATGGGTTAAGACCTGCATTTTTTATGTTAATTTCTCCATTCATATTAGTGGTGCTCTTGAATGTTATTTTCCATCCTCTACCAGTTTGAGACAAGTTTGCCCCCTCAAACCCTATTTATTATTTATAGTCATGGATGCTTTCTCAGCCCTCTTGGGTCAAGGGGATTTTGCGCGTATAACTGCTGGTTGTTTCATGCTCTCTAACCTCTTGTACGTTGATGATCTCATAGTTTTTGGGAAGCCGGATATTGCTAACTATATTAAGCTTTCACAATACCTTAGCATTTTTGCTAGTGCTTATGGACTGCATGTTAATTATGATAAGAGCTCAATTATCATTCCCAATTCCATTCAAAACTAGACTGCTATCTATGACGCCCTCTCTATCACGCACTCAGATATCATATTTGGGATTTCCAATCTCATTTAAAAGGTTGACTATTGTTGATTGTATACCTGTGATGGAATGCATCACATGTAAGTTGTCTAGGTGGAAAGCCAATCTTCTCTTTTGCGGGACGTTTGCAATTTCTTAAATTTACTACTCGTAATTCTATTGCTTGTTGGATAAGGAGATCTATCATACCTAAAATGATTATTAAGAGCATTAGGAGGATTACTTCTAAGTTTATATTTTTTTGTGATGCTAAGGCCTCTAGGAAGTTGCATGTGGTGTCTTGGGATGAAGTCTGTAAGCCTAAACATTTTGGAGGTCTTGGTTGCCTCCATATTGACGCTTTAATTTGCTTTAAATTGCTCTATCATTTGCAGGATGTATAACAAGAACTCCCCTCTATCTATTTGGCTAACATCCACATACCTCTCCCCTTGGCTTTCGCCCCAATCCCATGCCATTGCTTTATGGAAGTTTATATGCATTACTGCTATTAGAGCAAAGTCTTCCTTCCATTTCAAGATTACCCCATATGCTCCTATCTTGTTTTTATGGGACCATTGGTGCTATGGGCATGGTTTACCTGTCAATGCTTCTAGATTTACTAATGCTCTTGCCAGAGATTTCATTACGGGTAATGTTTGGAATCTTCCTGCCACGCTCCCTCATGTGGTTTCTAATGGAATTCACTCAATCTCGATTTATGATTCCAATGTTAAATATCTAATGTGGGGTAATTATACGAAGGGCTCTTTTATTATGTATGTCTCCAAATTTTATAAGGTGTTTACCCCGTTCTCTCAGGAGAATCTCATATGGCATAGGCATTGTGCTTTACATTTTTTTTGTGTTTGCATGGATGGACATTATCGGTGGACTAAAAACTACTGATGTGCTACACAAGCAAAGCATCCCTGTTGCTTGAATTTCTCCTGGTGTCACGCTGAAGAGAGAGCTCTACTCATCTCTTTTATAAATGCAATTACCCATATTCAATTATTACTAGTTTAATTCTAGGAGTTAGCCAGTGATGATGATGTTCGCCCGATCTTAGGGTTTTCCTTTGGATGGCCCTTGGGAAACAAGGGGTTTTTTCTTACTCGAATTCTCAATGTGGATTGGCTTATATTTGGCTGAGTCCTAGCTTGTTGGAGTTTTTATGCTCCTATTGACTTTTTGGTTATTGGTTTTGAATTGCTGGTTTAGTCGGCTTTCTTCTTGTTTCTTTTGGGTAGTTTTGACTGTCTTTTTGAGCTCACATTGAGCTTGCTCCTTTATTTGTTGGAGCTTTTGGGGTATTACTTGTAATCTTATCTTATTTAATATATGAGCGTTGACCAAATTCCCCCCCACCCCTCCCAAAAAAAAAAAAAAAAATGTAGACCAACCCATGCATTACTTTTATTGCTTTGATATAAAATATTTTCAAATAATGTAATGGATATAACCATAGCCTTTCATAGATTCTGTTAGAAATTAATTTGATAAATACTCCCAACGGCCAATTGAACGATCGTTTAGAAGTGTTGCCAGGCTGGTTCCGTCAAAAATACCCTATTCCTGCCGTTGCAAAAAGAAACAAAGGTTGATAAATAAATGACCTATTCAGGTCTCCCAGCCGTGTCTTTCATAAATATAGAATTAATTACTACTTAATTTATAGTCTTAATGGAATAGTTTCAGCCAAACTGCAGTACGGGGTGGGTTCATGCATGAATCATCATTTCCTTAGCTACTGTGGAGAGGTAAGTTTTGATCATTCTGAACAAAATAAGAAAAGCTTTTTTTTTTTGGGTAATTTTGGGGCATAGCCCATTTTATTAAAAATCAAATATAAAGTTCAACAAATAAAACAAACAAATACAGGAAACATGAAGAAAAAACCTAACAATAGCCAGCATTCTATAACAAAGATAGAATGAGGAAAAACAAATCAAGATAAAACATAAACATAGAAAAGGACTAATGAATTTAAGAACAGTAAACAAGCGGACAACAGACTGCAAGTTTTCTCCACCTAGCAGAAGGTAGGAAGATCTGGATCAAGCTCCCGGTAAAATCTCAATAGTAATGACAAGATCGGAGAATAATCCATTTCCCAGAAACCACGAACTTCAGGATATCTCCTTCCAGGTTTTGTATCCATCCAGTGTTGTCCAAGTCTCTTTCCAACAGATTTTGCCCATATATAGTCCAAAATATGCAAAAGAAAAAGAAACTAGAATCAGCAAAGTATATAGGAAAATTTTCTTTGAAGATCCTCAAAGTTTTTCCAGTTAGATACTTTCAATTTTATAGCTTTTCTAATAGATAAACTGCAGGTCTGTGGTGAAATCCAGTTACCAGTGAAACATCTGTTGTTCCTTTCAATCCAAAGAAAGTAAACAAGTGAGGTGATAACAAGGTAAATGAAAATTTTCTCTTTAGAAGTAAAACCTGGAGTGAGATCAAAATGTTCCAGTAATTGAGTTAAAGTAGGTCTCATAAAGAAGTTGCTAGTATGAGGAAGTAAGGAGGAAACAATAGTGAAAGAGTAATCACATTCAAAAAATAAGTGCTTATGATTCGCATTGTGATTTTGGCAAAAACTACAAGAGGAAATAATATTTAAATTTCTTCTTAAAAGAATGTCAGCTGTTTTTAATTTTTCCATCAAAGCCATCCAAGAATAAACCGAAAATCTCAGAGCATGCTTTTTAAACCAGATAAATTTATGCCATGAAACAGTAGTCAAATTGTCATAAAAGCTAGCTATATAAGAATGATGTTTCGGGTTTGGTAAGCCATCCCAAAGCATAGTCGGTTGCTTACCAATTTGAATCTTAATAATTTCATCCACCACATTTCTCGGAATGTCAGGGTAAAAATTCCAAGTATTTAGAGAAATGAAATTCTTAACCAGAATAAAACCCTCAGTAGAGGGATTTATGATATTGGCAATAGCTTTACCATTACACCAAGGATCCCAATAAAAAGAAAAATTACTGTCAGCAGTAATATTATGCTTAATGTTACGAGCCACCTCACAAATTAATTTCCACATTTTTGAAGCCTCCGCCGGAAGGGGTTTCCAGGGTGAAGAGTATTTCCCTTTATACCATTTAGCCAAGCCATTATCATTCTTCATAATTCTCCAAATAAGAGAGCAAGCAAAACTATGATAAAGAGCTTTAATAGAGTGTAATCCAAGCCCCCCATTAATTTTGGGAGTGCAAACAGTAGACCAGGAAATAGTTTGCAAT